AGGCCGAGGAAGTCCTCCTTCCGGTACCCCTTCTGCAAGGAGACAGGCCACCCGTCACACGGGGGGACGCCAGCGCCATCACCTTTCCTTCCCGAGGACACCCCTGCCCCCGCCTCGCTGGGCAGTGGGAATGTGAACGCAAACCCCCTCTGCTCTGGCACTGACAGGGCCACACTGTCCCCACGTTGGGCACGTGGCTGTCCTTACCCCACCGGTGCAGCTGCCACCACAGGGACGATGCTGTGGGGACATCCCTACCCCTTCAGGAGGGGGAGGCATGGAGTTGGGGCCCACCATATGCCTGGAAGCATTTGGGTGGCGTGGCCTCCCGGGGTGAAGCCCCTGGCCTTGACTCCCTTAGGATCCACCCTCAGGATCCACCCCAGGATCCCACCGGCTGGAGGAGGCACCGGAGGTTGGTACGTACCATCTTGAAGTCCCGGTGGAGCTTGGTGTATTGCCACATGTTGCCCAGAAGGCTGGCTGCTGCTCTGGAGGACTTCTCGTTGTCCGAGCTGGGACAGGGACAGGATGCAATGAGCTTTGGATACCACTAGCCATGGGATGGTGGGTGCCCATCAGCCTAAGGATACCACCCCAGAAGGGTCCAGAGGGGCTGAGGACTTAGTGCTGGTGGGAAGAGGCAGAAGACTAAAGGCTGGAGCCCACCGCAATGGGCAGGGTGGCAAGCGCTTCTGGCAGGAGAGGTGAGAAGCACCCAGATGGGAAGAAGGTGGTCGCAGTGATGGGCAACCCTGTGGTGGGGTGTCCTGAGGAGGTGGCAAAGGGCTGGAAGGTGGCCACGAGGCCACCCTGAGCTGGTCTGGGGACTCCCAACACCAAGCCTTGGGAAGGGAGACGGGTTGTGACCCTCTTCCACCTCGCTGGACCAGGGGAGGAAGGGGAGAGCAGGACTGGACCCCAGGTCTGAGCTGGGATGGCAGAGTGGACAGGGAGCTCCCACCTGTCCCTTCTCTTCTTGATGTAGAAGAGCTTCCTTAGACCATCAAAGTAAACGATGTCACGAGCGGCCATGGGGCTCTCCACCACCAGGTTGTTGAGGACCGCGATGATGTTCACGATGACGTCAGCGGGCGGCGCCTTGTCCCCGACGCTCCCCGGCAGCTTCTCGACCAAGTGGCTGACCACCTTGGTCGCTGGTGGGCAAAGGCATCACATCAGGGCTGGTGGTCGCAGCCAGGGGACATGCGGCAGCCTGGGGAGGAACCCTGCAACCTCCCAGGGGCAATGAGGGGACAGAGGGTCCAACCAAGGACCTGGGGGGCAGCACCAGGGACATCTTCAAGCCCTTTGCTCTCTGGAGTCTCTGCTGAGACTCCCTGGCACCTGGGAGAGGGGTTGGGGGACAGGGGCAAAGCCAAGTGAGATGGTGGGGTTGGAGGCAGAGGGGGGGACGTGTTCGGTTACTGGGGATGGGGGATGGACTGGCCACCGCTCACTCGGCTGCGAGGAGGGATGCAGCAGGCAGGAAGGTGCTGAGACATGGCTGGGGGTAACCGGAGGCCAGACCAAGGAGGAAAAGGGTGGAGGGCATCCGTCGGGCTCCTCCCCACAGCCCTGGCCCTGCCCGTCCCTCCCCGGCACTCACACATCTCGTCCTTGTTGCGGGCGTGGCGGGACAGGTTGCGGATGAGCCCCGTCAGGGAGCGCAGCTGGTGGTGGTCAGCGGTGCGGACGCGGTCCAGCACGGGGGTCAGGATGCGCTCCTGCTTGGTGGTGGTCAGCGGTGCGGACGCGGTCCAGCACGGGGTTCAGGATGCGCTCCTGCTCCAGGGCCAGCCGGCTCAGCACGCCCGCCCACTGCCAAGGCAAACACCCGCTTGGAGACACCTGCCAGGGACCCACCGGCTGCCTCCTCCTCCCACCCCATCTTCCTCCTCCTCCTCTTGCTCAACAGGACCAGGTCGGGTGACCCGTGCCTGGGTGGTGAGTAGTGTGATGGTCACGTCCCCCACCCAGGAAAGGCTGGTACCAGCCCACAGGGAGGTGCATCCCCTCCCCGGGCACAGCTGTGACTGCCCAGGTGGTGGAGACAAGCGGGCAAGACAGGGCAAGCTCCAGCGGACGTTCCCCTCCCGCGCCCTCACCCTGCGGTCCCCGGCGGTGATGTTCTGCAGGGCGCCCGAGGCCGCCTCCGTCGTGTGCTTGTTGAGCTCGCAGCGCTGCAGCAGCCGGTTGTAGATGCCCACAATCTGTGGGTTCCAGAGCCACTCCATGCCCTTGGGGTCCTTGGAGACCTCGGTGAAGGTGACGATGTCCGCATTCAGGTAGTGCTGCGGGGACAGGGGCAGCACTGTTAGACTCACAGGGGATGTCCCCTCTGCAGTATCCCCCACTGCTGGTGTCCCCTTTTCCCCCCGTGCCTGGCCTCAAGCGTTGGGCAGCTCCAGGCTGGCAGTGACCTGGCAGGTCACCCCGGCTGCGTCATGTCCCATGGCATAGCAAAGTGGGGGTTTGGCACCCTAATTCACCCCACACACCTGATTCACCCTCGGCTGAGCTCACCTGCGTGTCCCACCCATCAGCCGAGGCCGGCGTCCACCTCCGCCCCAGCGTCACCTCCACTGCCAGCTGCTTCCCAGTGCCAACCCCGCCCCAGGTGACACGGCCGCCATGGTGCCCACCACTTCCCAGCCACTGACCTCTCGTGCTTTCTTGCTCTGGGGGCTGAAGCAGCCCACCAGCTCCCCCGTCACCATGCCGCTGTTGTTCCTCCTGTGGCCTTCCAGGCGCTGGAGGGAGGACGGGGGCATTTCGTCGTACAGGCGGTAGGAGAGGTTGCGCAGGACGCAGACGGTGTTCTCCACGCTCTGGGGGGGGGGGGGAGATGGG